CCGTCGTAGCGGTTATGATCGCTCGTTTCGAGTTGAGGACTGGTTTCTCCGAAGGCATCTGGGTGTTATGGCGGGAGGGGGTGGATCTCCAAATCATCGAATGTGGTCGCCAACATGTCCATGTTCGGATTCGTGACGATGCGAGTTCGACCTCTTTTCTGGCCTCTTTTGTTTACGCTAGTCTGAACCCTCGACTCCGCCGCTCCTTGTGGGAACAATTGCAGGTCTTGGCCCAGCAGATTTCCTGTCCTTGGATTGTGGGTGGCGACTTTAATTGTTTTCTCCGTGTTTCTGAAAAGCAAGGAGGATCGGTTACTAATTGTAATGTTAGCTCGGCGTTCGCTGATTGGATTTTTGATAATGATCTTCATGAAGTTCAAACCTATGGGGACCAACCGACATGGTTCCGGCCCAGTTTAGCAGATAAGTTGGACCGATGGATTAAGAACGAAGCATGGGCTGATTTATTTCCGGATAGTATGGTTTTTCACCTACCCCGTCTACATTCAGATCATACTCCTCTTTTGCTTCGTGCTGTTAAGGCCGCGCGTGGCCCGGGAGTTAAAACCTTTTCGGTTTCTCGCGGCCTGGCTTACCCATGAGGGGTTTGATGGTGTGGTGAAGCGGTCTTGGCCTCATGGTGGATCCTACGAACAGTCGGTGAGGGAGTTTGAGTCTAAGGCTCGGGAGTGGAATGATACAGAGTTTGGTAATATCTTCCGTCAGAAACGACAAATGATGGCTTGCATACGGGGGATCCAACATTCGAGCAAGGGCGGGGGTAACCCTTTCCTACGAAGGTTGGAGCACCAGCTCAAATCTGAACTTGATCAGACTCTTTTGCAGGAAGAATTACTCTTTCTTCAGAAGTCCCGGCAGGATTGGGCTTTATTTGGCGACAGAAATACAACTTATTATCATCATCTCCTGAAGCATCGACGTCGCATGAATAGAATTACGGTACTCCAAGATGAGGAGGGCCGCCTTGTGGAGGATCCAGTCGCTTTGCCACAGATGGCGGTGGAGTTCTTTCGAGCCATTTACACGGCCCCTTCGACCGAGCCCTCTAACTTTCGCATTGGGGATGTGTTTCCATCTATTGAGGATAGTCGGATGCGCTTGTTGAGCCGTGATCTTACAGATATGGAGGTGTGGTCGGCGTTAAAGAAGATGGCTCTCCTCAAAGCCCCTGGGGTGGATGGTTTGCATGCGTTATTTTTCCAGCAGCTGTGGCACCATGTGGGCCCTTCGGTCTGCTCCCAGTTGTCGGATATATGGCGGGGTGGAAGAGTTCCGGCCTTCCTTAATCGTACCCTTCTGGTCCTCATCCCGAAGTGGCGAATCTGGTGTGCTTGAAACAGTTCCAGCCTATCAGCCTTCTCAATGTAGTTTATAAACTCATGACAAAGGTGCTTGCAGAACGTATGAAGCCTCTTTTACCGTTACTCATCAACCCGGCCCAAGCGAGTTTTGTTCCGGGTCGTCACATTACTGACAATATTATTGTAGCTCAAGAGCTTATCCACTCGATGCGAGGTATGAAAGGGAAGAGGGGGTATATGGTCATTAAAGTGGATTTTCTTCGGTGGGATTGTATTCGCGATACCTTACAACTGGTAGGGTTCCCGAGCAAGTTTGTGGAGGCTATTATGACGTGTGTTACTTCAGCCACAATGCAACTACATTGGAATGGGGCTGCTAGTGAGGAGTTCCGGCCATCCCGGGGTATCAGATAGGGTGACCCGATATCCCCTTATTTGTTTGTGTTATGTATTGAACGACTAGCTCACATGATTGATGATTCTGTAAACCGTGGAGAATGGAGGCATGTGATGGTAGGGCGAGGGCAGCTCTTGGTCCCGTATTTGATGTTCGTTGATGATATTCTTTTGTTTATCGAGGCTAGCCCGACGCAGGCGACAGTTCTAAAAGATGTGCTACACAATTTTTGCGATGTATCGGGCCTTCGGGTGAGCGAGGCCAAGACGCAAGTCTTTTCTTCCTCAAATATTGAGGAGTCGGTAAGT